TCCTCAAAAACCCTCATTCTTTCAAACCGGCCCACCGTTTCGAAGCCACAAAAAGGTAAGCTCGCCCGTGTTCGGTGGGCCAGTCTCCCCGGCGTCCAGCAGAGAACAGGTTCCCACAATCTACGAATGAATGAACTACGCCCCCACTTCATCCTTCCCTTGCATCCTCCTGCTCCCTAAGCGCCCACCACCACCACTCCCTTCGGGCGTCTGCGTCCCTGAGTTTGAGTCGTCCCGAACCCTCAGGGCTCCCCCACCGCCCCTTCCAGGGGCCTCCCTCGGAACGACCCTCCCCCCACCCTGGGAGGTCCCCTCTCCCCACATCTTCCAGAAACACCCCTAACCAACCCCTCCAGTCCTCTCAAGAAGGCCACCCTCCCCCGGCACAGAATTCCCGCCTCCTCGCTTCAAATCAGACCCTCCGGCTCCGTGAGGGTCGCCAACGCCTCAGGCCGGGCGCCCCCTCCAGACCCTCAGCCCCACAAGCCGCTCGGGCCCTGACCGTTTCTGGGCCTCCAAGCCCCACAGACGGATCTGCCGGTCATACTGCGCCGCCTCCTCCTCGCTGATGCCGCCGCCAGCCTCCTCCTTCTCCACCATGGCGCCGGCTCTAGCTGCCTGCACTCGGGTCCTGCCCACGGTAACCGCCCGCCGGCCCCACGCGCCGCCAACCGCCGCCGGCCGCACGCCCGGGCCGCCTCTGCGCCTGCGCCAGGGGCCGCGCCTGCGCAGGACCTCCTCCACGGCCCGGCCCGCCCCGACCACGTGGACCTCCCCAGCCTCAAAGGCGGGCCAGCGGGACTGCCAGTCACGTGACGGGGCTCCAGCCAATCCTGGCCCCAAAATGGCGCGGTTTAACGCCCGGAGACGATAGGTGCTCAAGTGGTGATTTCTGGGGCTATTAATTCGGCAAATATTTATCTAGCACTTGCTGAAATCCCGGCATTGGGGGTTTTGAAATAGAGCAGCGAATAAAAGAGACAAAGCCCTGTCCTCATGGAGCTTACGTTCTATTGAGGGGTGCCCACAGAAGAATAGAAATCAGGGGCGCCTGGGTGGCTCAGATGGTTAAGCGTCTGCCTTCGGCTCAGGTCATGATCCCAGGGTCTTCGGATCGAATCCCGCGTCGGGCTCCCTGCTCCTTGGGAGCCTGCTTCTCCCTCTGCCTCTCTCTCTCTCTCTCTGTCTCTCATGAATAAATAAATAAAATCTTTAAAAAAAAATCAGGCTGTGATAAATGCTGTGGAGAAAAATAAAGGCGGATATGGGATTACAGGGTTGCAGGAGTGGCCAGAGAGAAGGTCTTTCAGAGAAAGTGATACTGAACAGAGATCTGAAGGGACCGAATAAACAAGCCATGTGGATAACTGGGAGATGGAGCATTTCCGGTCAGGGCAAACAGCAGGTGCAAAGGCCCTGAAGCTGGAATGTGCTAGCATAGCTGAGGAACTGTGGAGAGCGCAAGGTGGCTGGAGCAGAGTGAGAGGATGGGCAGGTGGTAAGAGGTGAAATCGTAGATGAAGCAAGTGGGACTTCCTGTAGGGCCTCGTAGGCTAGTATAGCTTATACCTATTTTCCTTAGGCAAGGTGTCTTTTTTTTATTACCCCTTCAACAAGTACTTACTGAGCACTTGTTATGCGTCAATCATTGATCTCAGTGCTAGGCCAGGTAGAGCACTGAAATAAGAAAAAAAATAACACTGCCTTCTCATGGAGTTAAAATGGATTTTATGTGAATTCTTTCTCCAATCCTTATGAGATTAGTTAGGTTTTTTGATACTGCTATTTCATAGCTAAGGAGTCTGAGGTCCAGCAAAGTTCAGTAGCCTGAACAAAGGCTTATATCTTAGAAGTAGTCAAACTAGGATTCAAACCCAGGCTGTGTGGCCCACATGCTTCATCAGGAGGTCATACTGCTGGTGGTACATTAGGCTTCTACCATGTGCTCCGACCTTGCCTCTGAGGTACATACTCTGTGAACCTCAGAGATGGATATTTCATCCCCTCTTACAGATTACAACTCTGGGACTCAGAAAGGGGTAGGAATTCATCCAAGATCACAATATCCCTCCAAAAAAAAAAAAAAAAAAGTTTGGCCAATGCTTACTCTTGGTTATGGACTTGGAACAAATTATGTAAAAAATTAGGGACTTAAACAACAATAAATATTTATTATCTCTTATAGTTTCTGTGGGTCTGGGATTCAGAGCAACTTGTCTAGGCTGTTCTGGCACAGGTCTTTCATGAGGATGCAGTCAGATGTCAGCTGGGGCTATAGTCATCTGATGGCTTGTGATGGAAGATCCCTTTCCGAGGTGACTCACTCCAATGGTTAGCAAGCTGATGTGGGCTGATGGCTGGGGACCTCAGTTCTGCTCCACGTGGGCCTAACCGCTGGGCTGCTGGAGTGTTCTCATGACATGGTGGCTGGCTTCCCCCAGAGTAAGTGATCCATGAGAGCAAGGTGAAAGCAGCAATGCCTTTTGTTTTATTTTTTTTAAGATTTTTTATTTCTTTATTTGACAGAGAAAGACACAGCGAGAGAGGGAAAACAAGCAGGGGGAGCGGGAGAGGGAGAAGCAGGCTTCCCGCTGAGCAGGGAGCCCGATGCGGGGCTCAATCCCAGGACCCTGGGATCACAACCTGAGATGAAGGCAAACGCTTAACAACTGAGCCACCCAGGCGCCCCTTACTTTATTTTTTAAAAAGACTTTATTTATTTGAGAGAGATCATGAGCAGGGGAGGGGCAGAGGTAGAAGCAGACTCTCCGCTAAGCAGGGAGCCCAATGCTGGGCTGGGCCCCAGGACCTGGAATCATGACCTGAGCCGATGGCAGACACATACCAACTGAGCCCCCAGGCACCCCAGCAATATCTTTTATACCTCAGCCTTGGAAGTCACACACTGCCACTTCTGTAATATTCCATTGATCATACACAGTTGTATTCATTGTAGGAGAGGACAATACAAGGGCATGAATATGGTGAACAAAAGAAACATGGATCCACCCCGTGTTGTGCTGACCAGCTAATAGGGAAGACAGGAAGTATTTTATCAGTATTTACTAAATATTCTCGAAAAATATTTACCATATCCCTACTATGTGTTTGACTTTGTGCCAGGCCCCGGGGATACAATCATGATAAAAATGGACATACTCCTGCTTTAGGGACACTCATAATCCAGTGGGAGAGATAAAACAGTCACATAAATAGAAACTCCCCGAAGTGCTGTGAAAAGAAGAAAGAGCTATGACATGTTTGACTTAGTGTTGGGTCAGAAAAAGGATATTCTGAGAATGTAAACTTTCTGCTGAGCTTTACAGAGTAAATAGAGTTTAACAAAACACAGGAAGAACCCCAGGCAGAAAGGACGGCTGCACCTGCTGTGACTCAGAATTTAAGTTCATTCTCTCTCTCTTTGTTTAAACATTTTATTTATTTTTTTGAGAGAGAAAGAGAAGGGGGGGCAGACAGAAAGGGAGAAGCAGGCTCCCCACTGGGTAGGGAGCCCATCAAGGGGCTCAATCCCGGGACGCTGGGATCATGACCTGAGCCAAAGTCAGACACTAACTGCTTAGCCAACTAAGCCACTTAGGTGCCTCTCATTCTGACTCTGCCTCCCTGAGGGTATCTCCTTGACCCTTACTCCTTCACCCCCACACACTCTGTGGGAAGTTTAAAACAGGTTCACAAATCTGGGGCACCTTGCTGGCTCAGTTAGTGGAGCATGCAACTCTTGATCTGGAGGTCATGAGTTCAAGCCCCATGTTGCGCCTAGAGCTTATTTTATAAAAAATAATAATAAAAAATAAAACATGCCCACAAATCCTTTGATATTCTTCAATGATATTGAGTGGGGGGAATCAATGTCCCCTGTCCTTGAATCTGTACTCTGTGACTGCTGATCAATAGAACAAGATGGAAATGAACGCTGAACCAATTTCTACATCCAGGCCTTAAGAAATGTGCAGCTTGGGACACTTGGGTGGTTCAGTCAGTTAAGCGTCTGCCTTCGGCTCAGGTCATGATCCCGGGGTCCTGGGTTCAGTCCTGGGATCGTGTCCCACATTGGGCTCCTTGCTCAGTGGCGAGCCTGCTTCTCCCTCTGCCTGCCTGCCCCCTCCCGCTTGTTCTCTCTCTCTCTCTCTCTCTGACAAATAAATAACATCAAGAAAGAAAGAAAGAGAAAGAAAGAAAGAAAGAAAGAAAGAGAGAGAGAGAGAGAGAGAGAGAGAAAGAAAGAAAGAAAGGGTGCAGCTTGCCCTCAAAAAATCTGAACACAATTAGCTTATGACCCAGAAACTGCACTCCTAGGTGTATACCCTGAGGAATTGAAAGCAGGCCCTCAGATACTTGTATGCCAATCTTCACTGTAGTGCTATTCACAACAGCCAAAGGAAAAACAATCCAACTGTCTTGAATGAAAGGATAAACAAAATGTGTCAGATGCTTACTGTGGAATATCATTCAGCCATAAAAAAGAAGGAAGCACTGGGGCGCCTGGGTGGCTCAGTCGGTTAAGTGTCTGCCTTCAGCTCAGGTCATGATCTCAGAGTCCCGGGATGGAGCCCCATGGTGGGCTCCCTGCTCAGCGGGGAGTCTGCTTCTCCTTCTGCCCCTCCCCCTGCTCCTGTTTGCGTGTGCTCTCTCTCTCTCTCTGACAAATAAATAAATAAAATCTTTCAAAAAAAATCCTTAAAAAGAGAGAGAGAGAGAGAATGAAGCATTGACACATGCTACAACATGTCCCAGAAACATCATGCTAGGTGAAAGAAATCTGTCATGAAAGCTGATGAAAAAAGAAATAGATGGTGATGATGATTGCATAACATCGTGAATGTCCTTCATGCCACTGAGTTGTATAATTAAAATGGTTAGGGCGCCTGGGTGGCTCAGTTGGTTAAGCAACTGCCTTTGGCTCAGGTCATGATCCTGGAGTCCCGGGATCGAGTCCCACATCAAGCTCCCTGCTCAGCAGGGAGTCTGCTTCTCCCTCTGACCCTCTTCCCTCTCGTGCTCTCTGTCTCTCATTCTCTCTCAAATAAATTCTTTAAAAATAAATAAATAAATAAATAAATAAAGGGCGCCTGGGTGGGTCAGATGGTTGAGCGTCTGCCTTTGGCTCAGGTCATGATCCCGGGGTCCTGGGATCGAGTCCCGTATCGGGCTCCCTGCTTCTTGGGAGCCTACTTCTCCCTCTACCTCTCTCTCTCTCTCTCTCTCTCCCTCTGTCTCTCATGAATAAATAAATGAAATCTTTAGAAAAAAAAGAATTGTTAAAAATAAATAAATAAATAAAATGGTTAAAATGGTGGGGTGCCTGGCTGGCAGTCAGTAGAGCATGCGACTCTCCATCTCAGGGTCATGAGTTCAAGACCCACGTTGGGCATAGAGCTTACTTAGTTAAAAAAAAATGGTTAAAATGGTGGATTTTATGTTATGTATGGTTTTAATCACAATTGTAAAAAATTAATAATGAAATATACCAAAACTCACTGAATTGTACTTTAAATAGGTGAGTTGTGTGCTATGTGAATACCTCAGTAATGCTGTAAAATTAAAAAAAAGAAAAAAAAAGGAAATGGAAGCTTCAACTTTCCCTTCCTTGGGACACTTGATTTTAATCCCAGCCTCCTTGCTAGAAGTCAAAACAGCCCAAAGGGAAGTCCACGTGGAGAGGAGACAAAGCTCCTGACCCTCAGAGAGGCCAACAGCCCCAGGCAACAGCCAGCACCAACCTGTTGGCCATGGGAGTGAGCCATCTTGGAGGTGGATCCTCTGGCAGCTGGTGAAGCCTCCCCAAATAGAGCAGACACAAGCCATTCCTTCCAAGTCCTGCCCAAAGTTCTGATCAGTAAGCAAAATAAATGATCGCTGTTGATTTACACCACAAAGTTTTGGGATCACTTGTTACACGGCATTAGATTACCTGGATGCTGCCCCCTATCAACTCTCTCCTCATGCTTTCTTCTTTCTCTGTAATGTTTCCTTCTCTGTCCCTCCCCTTGGCTTGCGGCCATTCACAGGCAAACGATCTCTCTCTCTCTCTCTCTCTCTTTCCCTCACCCTACTCTCTTTCTCTCCCTCTCTTTCCCCTTCTCTGCCAACACTCTCCATCTTTCTGATTTGGGTTCCTCTGACACGCTCATTCATTCAGTATTCCCCGAGGACTTTCTCTGGGCCCAGCCCTGTGCTAGGTGATACATAAACCCTGGGGGACTATTTTGTTATCTCTCAGAGGAAGTAATGACCAAGCAGAGATGTGAGGGATGAAGAAAAGTCAGGTGACTGAGCCACGGGAACTGAAGGGGATAAAGGCATCAATTAAGAAGCCAAATCATGAGACACACAGCTGGCTCAGTTGGTAGAGCATGCGACTCTTGATCTCAGAGTTGTGAGTTCAAACCCCCATGTTAGGTGTAGAGATTACCTCAGAATAAAATCTTTAAAAAACTCTTTTTAAAAATAATAAAGAAAAGAAAAGAAAGAAACCAGATCATGGGGATGCCTGGCTGGCTGGGTGGCTACTGGGTTGTGAGTTCAAGCCCCATATTGGATGTAGAGATTACTTAAAGTCTTTAAAAAAATTTTTTTAAGTAGGCTCCACACCCAATGTGGGGCTCAAACCCACAACCTTAAGAATCAAGAGTCATATGATCACGGGGTGTCTGGGTGGCTCAGATGGTTAAGCAGCTGCCTTCGGCTCAGGTCATGATCCCAGGGTCCTGGGATGGAGCCCTACATTGGGCATCAGTGGGGAGCCTGCTTCTCCCTCTCCCTCTACCGCTCCCTCTGCTTGTGCTCTCTCACTCTCTCTGTCAAGTAGACAAATAAAATCTTAAAAAAAAAAATAAGTCTCATGATCATGAGTCACATGCTCCACCGACCAAGCCAGCAGGCACCCCTTAAAAATAAAGTCTAAAAAAAAAAAACCAGATCATGAATCATCTTTTTTTTTAATGCTGAAAATCTATTTGTTAATTACAGCGTGTGACTGTTGTACTTTGAAGCAAATAGAGAACACAAAAAATCAGGATCCTGACAGCTAAAGAGACACGTCCAGAGTGAACATCACTTTGCTTAGAATGATTTGAGTTTCCCTTTGAAATGAGCCTGTCTGGGAGGTACATGCCTCTTCAGATCTGTAGTTTCTTCCAAATATTGCTGGGCCCCCAGCAAAGGCCGTTTCCTAACTGCTTTCCTGACCTCCAACCCAGCCTCCAACCTTGACCTTACCCCTTATCCTAATCCAGAGGATGAGATGAGGGTCCAAATGGCTTGAAGTTCAGGAACAGAATGAGAATAGTTGATGCTATTTGGTAACTTTTTAATTAATTAATTAATTAATTAGGTAATTTTTATAGATTTTATTTTTATTTATTTGTCAGAGAGAGAGGGCACAAGCAGGTGGAGCGGCAGAGGGGGAGACAGGCTCCTCGCTGAGCAGGGAGCACAATGTGGGGCTTGATCCCAAGACCCTGGGGCCATGACCTGAGCCAAAGGAAGACACTTAACTGACTGAGCCACCCAGGCATCCCTAACTTTTTTTTTTTTTAAACACAAAATCTTGGGATGCCTGGGTGGCTGAGTTGGTTGGGCATCTGCCTTCGGCTCTGGTCATGATCACAGCGTCCTGGGATCAAGCCCGCGCATCAGGCTCCCTACTCAGCAGGGAGCTTGCTTCTCCCTCTCCCTCTGCCTGCCTGTCTGCCTACTTGTGATCTATCTGTCAAATAAATAAATAAAATCTTTAAAAAAATAAAATAATCTTTTTTAAAGTAAATTCTACACCCAACATTGGGCCCTGAGATCAAGAGTTGCAGGTTCTACCAACTGACCCAGCCGGGTGGCCCACGTATTTTTATTTTGAAGATTTTCAAGCTTACAGAAAAAAATAGCCCAATGAATGTTCATACATCTTTTTTTTTTTAATCTACACATTTATTTACTTTTCATTAAATTTAAATCCTTGAGGGGTACAGCATCACACGGATTCTGTGGCCAATAGCTTTAGCAGGAAGGTTGCTTCAGAATTTGGCACGAACCATGCCACCGCTTCCATGAGCACGAGTTACCTTTCCCTAGATTACTCTGGTTTTGTTTGGTTTGCCACCAGGAGTCACTGTGTTCTTTGCTTTGTACACATAAGCCAATCTCTTGCCTAGATAGAATTCCGTTTCATCTCGAGCATAAACACCCTTGTTTTTAAGAAGAGCTGTATGCTCTCTCTGGTTCCGGAGACCCCGCTTATAGCCAGCAAAAATGGCCTTGGACCATAGCCTTCCAGACATTATTTGGCGTTATAGGCGTCCTGTTCCCAGCAGGCCTCCATAGACTCCAAGATGGCAGAAAAAGAAAGGCCATGTTCATACATCTTTTGTCTAGATTCATTAATTTGAAGTTTGGGCACATTCTCTCTCTCTCTCTCTCACATACACACACACACACATTTTTTTATTTTTTATTGTTATGTTAATCACCATACATTACATCATTAGTTTTTGATATAGTGCTCCACGACTCTGTTTGTGCATAACACCCAGTGCTCCACGCAGAACGTGCCCTCTTTAATACCCATCACCAGGGCGCCTGGGTGGCTCAGTCGTTAAGCGTCTGCCTTCGGCTCAGGTCATGATCCTAGGGTCCTGGGATCGAGCCCCACATCGGGCTCCCTGCTCTGCGGGAAGCCTGCTTCTCCCTCTCCCGCTCCCCCTGCTTGTGTTCCCTCTCTCGCTGTGTCTCTCTCTGTCAAATAAATAAATAAAATCTTTAAAAAAAAATAATAATACCCATCACCAGGCTAACCCATCCCCCCACCCCCTCCCCTCTAGAACCCTCAGTTTGTTTTTCAGAGTCCATCGTCTCTCATGGTTCGTCTCCCCCTCCTATTTACCCCCCTTCATTCTTCCCCTCCCGCTATCATCTTCTTCTTTTTTTTTTCTTAACATATATTGCATTATTTGTTTCAGAAGTACAGATCTGTGATTCAACAGTCTTGCACAATTCACAGCACTCACCGTAGCACATACCCTCCCCAATGTCTATCACCCAGCCACCCCATCCCTCCCACCCCCCCACCAGTCCAGCAACCCTCAGTTTGTTTCCTGAGATCAAGAATTCCTCATATCAGTGAGGTCATATGATACATGTCTTTCTCTGATTGACTTATTTCACTCAGCATAACACCCTCCAGTTCCATCCACATTGTTGCAAATGGCAAGATCTCATTCCTTTTGATGGCTGCATAATATTCCATTCACACACATTTTTTTTTAAGATTTTATTTATTTATTCATGAGAGACAGAGGAGGAGAGAGAGAGAGAGAAGCAGAGGGAGAAGCAGGCTCCCAAGGAGCAGGGAGCCCGATGCGGGACTCGATCCCAGGACCCTGGGATCATGACCTGAGCCGAAGGCAGACGCTTAACCATCTGAGCCACCCAGGCGCCCACACACACATTTTTTTGACTAAACAATTTCACAGTCACTTCAGGTCTTTAAATCAATGCAGGGAAAAATTGGGGCACCTGGCTGGCTCAGTCAGTTAAGCATCTGCCTTTGGCTTGGGTCATGATCCTGGGGTCCTGGGACCAGGACTGGGATCAAGCCCCAAGTCAGGCTCCCTGCTCAGTGGGAGTCTGCCTCTCCCTTTCCATCTGCTCAGTGGGAGTCTGCCTTTCCCTTTCCATCTGCCTCTCCCCCAGCTCATGCTCTCTCTTGCGCTCTCTCTCTCAAATAAATAAATAAATAATCTTAAAAAAAATCAATGCAGGTAAAAATTTTGAGCACCAATAGGCCAGATTCTCTTAAACACTTCCTGCATACAAAAACCCAAATATATACAAATTCCTTAAACCAAAACGTTAATTCCAGAGGTCTGAGCCACTTGACAATTTCTATATTTAACTGCAAATATTCCCAGGGTTAAATAATGCCAACTAAGGAAATAATTATGGCAACAAGGGGATTCAGTAAGTTCTCTTGATTATCACTATGGCCGATTGCATTTTGCACAGTTGACAACAGCAGTATCTTCTGTCCTTAGAGATAATTTTTGAAAAGATTTTATTTATTTATTTGAGAGAGAAAGAGACAGAGAGAGAGCGTGAGAGCATGAGCTGGGGGAGAGGGAGAGGCAGAGGGAGAAGCAGGCTCCCCGCTGAGCAGAGAGCCTGCCACAGGACTCCATCCCAGGACCCTGGGATCATGATCTGAGCCAAAGGCAGATGCTTAACCATCTGAGCTACCCAGATGCCCTCCCTCCATCTTCTTTTTTAAGGCTGAATATGAATATATTCCATTGTAAGTATATACCACATTTTGTTTATCTATCCATCCATTCATTCAGTAGACATTTGGGTTGCTTTTAACCTTTTGACTGTTGTGAATAATGTTGCTATAAACAAAAGCGTACAAATATCTCTTTGAGACCCTGTTGAGACCATGGGATATACACCCAGGGGACGGTTTGTTTTTCAGCAACAGCTAATCAGAGCAGTTGCCAAAACTGAGATTTTGTCACTTGAAGGGGGTGGAGAGCAGTCATTCAATAGATCAGGTCCCTGGGTTTTAGAATTACATAATTACCTCCACCCAGGTGACTGCTCACTATTAACCAAGGCAGTGGTTCTGTTCTCAGTCCCACCTGCACATTAGGAGTATCTGGGGAGTTTTTCAGCAAATATAGCACCCAGGCCCCACCTTCAGAGACTGATTAATTGGTCTGGGGAGGAGCTGAGACATTGGGATTTTTACAAAATGCTCCCCAGATGACTCTAAAATGCAGTCAGAGTGGAGAACCCTGGAGCAAAGATCTGTGTGGTGTTTTTATTCCAGTTTTCAATTCTTTTCCTGCCCTTCCTGCTAGAACCAAAGAACTCTTAGGGTTTGTTTAAAAGATATCAATTAGGGGCGCCTGGCTAGCTCAGTCAGTGGGACATGTGACTCTTGATCTCAGAGTCTTAAGTTCAAGCCCCACATTGGGCATAGGGCTTACTTAAAAAACAAATATGGGTAGGGTGCCTGGGTGGCTCAGTCGGTTGAGCATCTGCTTTCAGCTCAGGTCACAATCCCTGGGTCCTGGAATCGAGTCCCACATCGGGCTCCCTGTTCAGCTGGGAGCTTGCTTCTCCCTCTCCCTCTGCTTCTCCCCCTGCTTGTGCTCTCTCTTGCGCTCTCTCCTGCTCTCTGCCAAATAAATAAATAAACTCTTAAACACACACACACACACACACACACACAAATATGGGCAGGCACCTGGCTGGCTCAGTGGGGTGCCTGACTCTTGAGCTCAGAGTTGTGAGTTCAAGCCCCATGCTGGGTGTAGAGCTTGAGCTCAGGGTTGTGAGTTCAAGCCCCATGTTGGGTGTAGAGATTACTTAAAAATAAATAAATAAACTTTAAAAAATGCTTCACTAGCAGAGTAGGGGGATGGTCAATGAGTAGGAATAAGGAACTGACTTTAGCCGAGTTTATTTTTATTTTTTAAAGATTTATTTGTTTATTTTTAGAGAAAGAACGCACATGGGGGTTGGGAGGAGGGTGTTGGGGGAGGAGCAGAGGGAAAGAGAATCTGGAGCAGACTCCCCATTGAGCTTGGAGCCAGATGGGGACTCTGGGGGCTTGATCCCACAACCCTGAGATCATGACCTGATCCTAAATCTAGAGACAGACCCTTAACCCATGAGCCACCCAGGAGCCCCTGGTTGAGTTTATAATTCTTGAAATTGGGTAATAGGTACATGAGGATTCGTTTTACTTTTTCCTCTATTTTTGTATATGTTTGAATTTTTCCACAATAAAAAGTTTTTATTTTTATTTTTTTTTAAGATTTTATTCATTTATTTGAGAGAGAGAGAGCACAAGCTGGGGCAGGCGGGAGGGGGGGGAAGAAGGGGCAGAGGGAGAAGCAGACTCTCCTTGGAGCAGGGAGCTCGACGTGGGGCTCGATCCCAGTACCCCCAAGGTCATGACTGTAGCCGAACAAAGGTAGATGCTTAACCAACTGAGCCACCCAGGCGTCCCTAAAAAGTTTTTTTTAAGATGCTTACTTTGGGACGCCTGGGTGGCTTAGTTGGTTGGGTATCTGCCTTCGGCTCCAGTCATGATCCCAAAGTCCTGGGATCGAGTCCCACATTGGGGCCCTTGCTTGGTGGAGAGCAAGTTTTAATCCACACCTACTCATTTATGTATTATCTGTGACAGCTTTTCCAGAATTTTTACAACTCTGTAACAGCAGCCTTAAAGAGTTTAAACGGGGGCGCCTGGGTGGCTCAGTCAGTTGGGCGCCTGCCTTCGGCTCAGGTCATGATCCCAGGGTCCTGGGATCGAGCCCCGCATCGGGATCCCTGCTCCGCAGGAAGCCTGCTTCTCCCTCTCCCACTCCGCCTGCTTGTGTTCCCTCTCTTGCTGTCTCTGTCAAATAAATAAATAAAATCTTTAATAAATAAATAAATAAATAAATAGATGCTTTTAAGTTACGTGTATTTCTTCTTTTATGTGAAATTCAATTTAACACAAAAAGTTTTAAAACATGTATACCCCCAAATTTGAGAATATACCATTACATTAAATTTTCTCGGTAAGCTTTAGGAAAGTATAATGGGGGAAGTGGAAAAAAGGACACTTTTAGATTTGTAATGAGTCTAGAAGAGCAGGAGAAAATAATTTATAGGGCAGGTTGCTTGATTTTCAGGGCTCTTTTCCACAAAGTGATCATTTTACAAAAGTTACTGCATACTCATAGGTAATGGATCAGGTCACTCCCTTACCAATTGGATCTTCAGGGTCATTTCAAGGTCAGTATATTAACTAATAAATCATTTATTTATTTTTAAAGATTCCATTTATTCATTTGACAGAGAGAGACACAGCGAGAGAGGGAACACAAGCAGGGGGGGTGGGAGAGGGAGAAGCAGGCTTCCTACCAAGCAAGGAGCCCGTTGCGGGACTCAATCCCAGGACTCTGGGATCATGACCTGAGCCGAAGGCAGACGCTTAATGACTGAGCCACCCAGGCGTCCCTAAAATTAACCATTTTAAAGTGAACAGGGACGCTGGGTGGCTCAGTGGGTTAAGCTTCCTACTCTTGCTTTCAGCTGGGGTCATGATCTCAGGGTCCTGGGATCAAGCCCCACATTGGCTCCATGCTGGGCATGGAGACTGCTTGGGATTGTCTCTCTCCCTTTCCCTCTGCTCCTCCCCTGCTCTCTCTCTCTCTCTCAAAAAAAAATTAAAGTGAACAATTTGGTGGTGTTCAGTACACTCACCAGGTTGTGTAACCACCACCTCTTTCTAGCTCCAAAACATTCTCATTACCCTGAAGGTGGTAGTATACATCTCATAAATTCCTAGATCTGCCATGACTTTGCTATGCACACAATTCCAAAACTGGAAAAGTTCAGCATTACAGTTTGA